AGAGACCCTATACCACATACATAAATAGTCACATCCATAGGAAGAACTCCAAACATTATAACTACTATTACCTGAAGAAGAGTGATAAAGCCCGTGGCTTTCTGTTGGGAATCTGACTCAAAGTTACAGATCCTGGCTCCCCGTCAACAAGTGTTCCATTCAACCTCTTTCTGGTTCCTATACCACCCAGCCACTGTCAAGGAAAGGTTAGCTGTTCTACAATCTCCTGCTTCCCCTGCCCCGTGCTCGTGCTCATGTTCTCTCTCTCTCTCTCTCTCTCTCTCTCTCTCTCTCTCTCTCTCTCTCTCTCTCTCATAAGGTCTGCACAGCTCAAACTGTAGTGCTTCTCCTGTTTTCAGCCTCCTCAGCGCTGGGATTCTTGGCACTGGCCATGACAGCCCTGGACTCTGGTTCAGCGCACAAGGGGCAGGGCCAGCGTGGCACGCGGTGCCAGGATCGAACCCTGGTCCCTGTGCTTGCCTATGTAGGCAATTAGTCCGCTGAGCTATCTCGCTGGCCCTTCCCCTGCCTTCTGGACCCGGATTCTAGAGCTACAGTGGAAAGAGGATCTGAGCAGTGGCCATACTGTCAGGACTTGGTCCTGGAGAGAAGATGGTTGAGATCAGTCAGTAGCAGTATTAAATGGATGGGTCTGGGAAAAACAAACTACAAACATCCTTGGGCTGTGGTGCACTTCTGGTGAACTCTTGCCTATCTTTTTTTTTCTTTTCTCCCCTCCCTACCTCTCCTCCCTCTCCTTGTTGCCTAGCACTCTTTAGACCTTAGGTTCAACCCCAAGCATTGGAAAATAAAAACAAAAAACCCAAAGCTGAGGAAGAGGAATTGAGAGGTGTGGTGTGTGGAATGTTGCTGAGGCTGCTCGAATGCCTTCACATTGTCCTGTAATGTTTTCCATCTTTGCTCTTCACAACACTGGGCTTCTCAGCCTTGCTTTGGGACCCGGAGATAGCTCAGTGGCACAAGCGCCTGCCTGGTGAGCATAAGGTTTTAATTTCAATTCCCTGTACAAACAAAACAAAAAATCCAACTCGCAACCCTGCATTGAACAGGGGCTGTTAACTCTAATGTGTGTGAAATGTGCACCACGGTACTGGTGTTTGTGTGGTGTGAGCTGTGGGGAGTTTTGTGGATTGTTTTTTGTTTCTTTGAGACAAGATCTTACCCGCAGGCTTGCCTTCAACTCACTCAGTGATTCTCCCACCTCAGCGCCCAAGTGCTGGCATTACAGTGTCACAGTGTGTCACCACATCCCCCTGCAATTCCTTGTATAGGTGTATGTGAGATGTGTCCATTGCACTAGGTCTGTAGGTTTTCTGTGAATTGCGTGTTACATGAAAAGTGTGTACGACGTACCTAAGAGTGTGCGGGATGTATTAGTGGGATGAAGTTATCTATGAAGGCAGCCGGCCTTGCTCTCAGGGGAGGTAAAGCCAAAGGACAACAATTTCTAGATCCTGGGAGGGGACGGTGCGGGTGGCGCCGGGGCGGCACAAGGCGGTTGGGAGTCACCGTGACCTCGAGGGAGAGGTCAGCCACGGGGCTTTGGAGAGGCCTGTGGCTGTTAAGCCACCCGGGAGGAGCCCGGAAGTGGACGGTGTGATGGCGGGGTCCGGGGGACGGGGTGCTTAGCTCCCTCCACAGTCCGTAGAGGACTCTGAGCTGCAGCTTGGAGGTGGGGGGGAGCGAGGTTCCGAGGATGGCCGGGGCGGGGCGGGGCCGGGATACGGCAAAGGGGCGGGGCTGAGGCCTCCGGTGGGATCCGAGCTGTGTCTGGAGCGGAACGAAGGATGGGTCCGAGGGCTGGGGCTGTAAGGTGAGGGCTTGCGGTGAGAGGAGCTACTGGCGCTAGAAGTGTGACCCAGCAGAGGAACCGGGGGCAGCTGGAGGCCCCGGATAAAGAACGCGGCTGACGCTCAGGCCCGGCGGGGGAGACCGCACCGCCTAGGGCGGGGGGAGGCGGGGGGGGAGGTGGGCCAGGATGAGGCGGAGGTAGGGGCTGGCCTGGGGCACCCCGAGACTGAGCTCCGAGCCGAGGTTCAAAGCTGAACTCTGCGAGGAAGAGACCCTTGGAAGAACAGAACTGAGAATGATGTGGGTCAGGACAACAGTAACCATTGAAAGATGGACTGAGGAAAACACTGGGCGCGAGGCCGGCTCCTGGGACCAGAAGGGGAGCTGCGGTGAGGAGGGGCGGAGCAGGAGGTTGGAGTAACGTGGAGGCGCTTCCCGACGGAGGAGGCGGGGCCAAGCGCTGTTCTGGGGGCGGGCTCTCGTAAGCCGTGGGCCAATGATTGAGGAGGGGTCCTGAGGCCCTGGAGGGCTGGAGTCCGGAGCTGTCGGCTTGAGCCTGAGCTGTATGTAGCTGTAGTTTGCAGGGCTACAAGGCCTCTTTGTTCTGTTTGCAGCAGCAGGCTCAGGCTGCCAGTTTGGGACTCGGCTTGGCTGGAGTACATGGCCCATTGCCACCCAGGCGTGGGGGGCTGGGGGCGGGCAGTTCCACTGACTTCCAGGATGGGAAGACTTATGGGGGGTTCCATGTGTGACATCACAATCGTGTCGGGGTGGGGGTGGGGCGGAACCAGGAGGCATTTCCAAGGAGACGAGGGTGTACTGCCCGCCCATCCCTTACACTGCCCTATTCCCTCCTTCCTTTACTAGTTTTTTCCCTTCTTCCCTTCCTCCCCTTCTCCTCCCCACTTCCGCAGCTCTGGTGCCCATCCCCTGTGCCTCTCGGGCTGCGGAGCTCTGTCCGCCGCCGCCGGGAGGATTCTGTACTGATGAGCCTCGCTTGTGAGTTTTGATAGGCTTCTGCCTTGGACTTAATGCTGCTCTAAGAGCTGTTTTCGTTTCAAGATAGCAACAACCTCCCCTCCCTTATGAAGTCCCTTGTGTCACTGCTGTTGCAGTCAAGAACACCTCTTTGTTCTCTCTGGAGCTAGAGGAGGTTGTTTTTTCTCAGAGCTGAGGAGTCAGTCCCTCTTTCGCTTGGCCTTCCTCCCCTCCACAAATAGCTGGTGGCTGTCAGGGTCTGTTGGAAAGTGAGTTAGTGGAAAATAGGCGCTCATGTGCCAGGTGTGGTGGCGCACACCTGTAATCCCAGTACTCTGGGAGGCTGAAGCTGGAGGATCATTATGAGTTCGGGAGTGAGCTTAAGGCCAGCCTAGAGGCTGGGGAGATGGCTCAGTAGAATAAGCACTTGGCCTGGCAAGCTCAAGGGCCTGAGTTCAATCCCTCGTTCCGCAAAAAAAAAAAAAAAAAAAAAAAAAAAAATAGGTGCTTACTCTGTACAGGACCACTTGCAAGTGGAGTCAGAGCAGAATTTCAGTGCAGACCCAGCCTTGGGTGCTTATCACATGACTTTAGGGGCCAGGCAGGATGTGGGGTTAGGATTGTGGGGGTGAGGAATTAGGGGTGGAGTTGGAAAACTGGTGTCATGGGAGATGACAGACAGCTGGAAGGGCAAGTTTTGGGTAGGGAAGTGAATGTGGTTTTAAGACTTTGCTGTGGGCCAGGAGTGGTGGTGCACGCTTGTAAAATTTGAGCACTCCGGAGGCAGAGAGGATTGAGGCCAGCATGGGGTACAAAGTGGGTTCAGCCTGAACTGCAGAGTGAGACCCCGTGTCAAGAAAAAAAAAAAAAAAAGGCATGGCTGTGACGCTCATGACATAGAATAACTTTATGTGCAACTCTGCAGCCAACAGTAAATAGGACTGAGAGTGTACAGGCTATAAAAGCAGGAAGATGAGGCAAGGGAGATGGCTCAGTAGAATAAGCGCTTTCCTGGCAAGTGCAAGGGTCTGTGTTCAATCCCCAGTTCCACAAAAACAAAACAAAACAAAACAAAAAAACCACACACACACACACACACACACACACGACAAAAACAAAAACCAGGAAGATGTGGGTTTGAATCCTGCTGCTGTCAATCTATTTCTGGACAAATTACTTATCCTCTCTGAGTCTTTGTGTCTCCATCTATAGAATTTAAAGAAGTCCAGTGCAGCACCTGGTGAAGGGGTACACCATGAGTCAGTTATCTTTACTGCAGTGGTAGAATGCTTACCTAACATGGATGAAGTGCTGGTTCAAGCTGCACCAACATTCACCATCCCCCAACACCCTGAGGTTTGAACTTTGGGCAGAATCCCCAATACCTCTTTGTGCATCCAATAGAGGCTTAGTCTGTTCTATTCATGTGTTAATTCAACTGACATTTAAAGAGCTATCAGTATGCAATGTCACAAGTCCCAGGTACTGTGGCAGCAGGTGAAAAGGGTCAAGACATATGATTTCTGGTTTTGTTTTTTTCCAGAACCAGGGATTGAATTCAGGCCCTTGTGCTAGTTAGGGAAGCACTTATTTTATTGAGCCATCGCCCCAGCCCTTCTTTTTTTGCTTCGAGACAGGGTCTCAATATGTAGTTCAGGCTGGCCTTGAATTCACTGTGTAGCCATGTTGACCTCAAACACAAAGTGATGGGCTGCAGAGATAGCTCAGTAGAATAAGCGCCTGCCTGGCAAGCGCAGGGTCCTGAGTTCAATCCCTGGTACTGCAAAAAACAAAACAAACAACAAAGTGATCCTCCTGCCTCAGTCTCCCAAGTGCTGGAATTATAGGTATGGGCCACTGTAACAAGTTTGGCACAGATGATCTTTTCTACTTGGATATCATTGTTCTCAGAAAGATCAGCTTGTGTATCTTTTTTTTTTTGTATTTGTTAAGGAAGGGTATACAGGGTGTTCAGGGTCTCACTACTACATCAGACTTGTAGTGATCCACCTGTTTACAGCCTCCCAAAAGCTGGGGTTACAGGTGTGTGCCACCATGCCCAGTCTCAATCTATGGTGCCCTGGGGGGTGGGGGCAGGCAGGCTGGGGATTGAACCCAGGCTGCTGCGCTAAACAGGCACGTCAGTCCGCTGAACTATCTGGCCGGCCCTCAAAATATTTTAAAAAGGGCTCAGAATATATATTGCACAGTGTGAAGGCCCTGCATTCAACCCCTAGTACTGGAAAAAATACATAAATATAAAAATAGTGAAAAAAATCAGTCTGCATTAAGAGACGCAGGTGCAAGTCATTTTATTTACAGGACAAGCTTGTTGAATCCAGCTATTGCAGGGCATAGAGACAACCCTCCTAGTCACCAGTAAGAGAATCACAGAAGCAGAAGAGGAGACAGTAGAGATAGGAAAGAACAAAAAAGCTAGTTGGAATAGGAAGAGAAAGATGAGAGAGGTCCATTGTGGAAGCCCAAGGAACACACTACAGGAAAGATTAGTCAGGAGGGTCAGGTGAGATGAGAGAGAAAAAAGGGGGATTTGCTTACTGGGAAACTTCTGGGGCCTTTGCCTAAGCTCTTCTAATACAGGATCAGATGGCTGTGGTGGTATAGGCAGCTTGACTAGAAGGGGCAGAGTCTGGGTTGAAGCTGGATGTGGTGGCACATTCCTATAACTCCAGCACTTGGGAGGTTAAGGCAGGAGAACTGCTGCAAGTTTGAGGTCAGTCTGGGCTACACAGTAAATTCTTTTTTTTTTTTTAAAATTTATTTATTTATTTAACATTTATTTATTGTATGTGTGGCCAGCTCAGCCCACCAGGGGGCAGGGCTGGCTGGCATGTGGTGCTGGGGGATCCAACGGCGGTCCATGTGCTTTGCTAAGCTTGTTCTAAGTAGGTGCTTTAGACCACTGAGCCATCTCACCAGCCCTACACAGTAAATTCAAGACCAGCCTGAATTATATAATATCTGAGACCCTGTCTCAAAAAATTAAAAAAAAAATGTCCATGTATTGAAAAGGTTAAAGGGACTATGCAGTGGCAGGAGAAACAGCACTGATAAAATGTTTTAAGAGGTTGAGGCCAGCCTGAACTACATAGTGAGATTCTGTCTCAAAAAAAAAAAAAAAAAAAAAAAAAGGCTGGAATATAGCTCAATAGAAATCTTGCTTCATGTACACAAGGCCTTGGGTTCAATCCCCAGCTCTCCAACTGCCTCCCACTAAAGAATGTTTTGTTTAAAGAGATATTTATAAGCTTGTAAAGGGAGGTGGGCAGTGAGAGCCAGTAGAGGCTCTCAGTATTTCCATTCTCAGTATTGGGAAATAAAAAAGCTGGGTGTGCTGGCACATGCCAGCGTGGATTGGAGCCCTAAAGCAGGTGCATCCCTGCAATCCTAGAATTTAGGGAGGTTGAAGCAGGAGCCCAAGTTAGGGTCCTGCCTGGACAATTCAATGAGACCTTGTCTGTAAATAGAAGGTGACATTCTGGGCAGTATCTATAGTATGGATGCTTTGGGCACGATGACGGAAGGACACCTCATCCCCAAGCTGGGGTTGAAGTGGGTAGAGACAGTCACAGGAAATGATAATGGTGAAATTATCTGTTAAGAGGATAGTAGCAGTGCAGGAGTTCCTGGAAAGTGCTTGAAGTCATTTACCCACTTAATATATTTTGAGTACTTTGCTATCGAAAACTGGAGGAACTGACCAGGACCTGTAAAAGGATGGCCACATGCTGCTGAAGACCCTGAGTTTTCTTTTCTTCTTCTTCTTCTTCTTTTTTTTTTTTTTTTTTTTTTTTTTTTTTTTTGTGCCAAGGACTGAATCCAGGGCTTCCAGCTTCCTAGGCAAGCTTTCTACCGCTGAGCCAAATCCCCAGCCCTTATGCTATTTTTTTTTTTCGGAACTGGGGATTGAACTCAGGCCCTTGTGCTTGCCAGGCAACTACACAGCTCGGACTCTGGACTTGTAGTGATCCTCCTGTAGCTTCCCCAGCACTGGGAGTACAGGTGTGTGCCACCATGCCTGCTTTTGGTGGCTGGCACAGTGCGCCCGGGGTTCCAGGCCAGCATGGCATGCAGTACCAGGGACTGAACCTGGGTCCTTGCACTTGTCAGGCAGGTACTTAGGCCACTGAGCTATGTCCCCAGCTCTAGCTTCTGTTTCTTAAGCAAGCCTTTGATCCTCAAAAGACAAACCTATGGCTGGGGTGTAGCTTAGTGATAGGTTCCTTCTCATTTGTGTGAGGCCCTACATTCAATCCCTAGCACATCAGAAAGTTGAGGTTCTTCCAAGGGACACCCCCTGAACCAGGTTCCACACTCCTGGGAAAAGTTCTGGAGCTGCCCTTTGTTGGCTTGATCCCAGCTCACTCCTAATCACTGGGAGTGATGTTCCCAAGTGATGCTCCAACTCTTATAATCCCTGACCCCATCTCCAATCTTGGCAGGTGGCCCTTGTTCTGTGCTCCCTCTATCTGCAGCACACTAGGATCATGATCCTCCCTTGCCTCCCTCTCCTTATCTCTTCCCTCAGCTCTCTGACATCAGGGACTGTTGTTTTTTCTGAGACAAGGTCTGGCTGTGTAGTTTAGGATGGTCTTGAACCTGTGGCAATCTTCCTGCCTCAACCTCCTGAATGCTGGGATTACAGGCATGTACTACCACACCTGGCCTTATGTTGTTCTTTTTAAGCCTCTGTATCTCTATGATGCAGCAGGATCCAGACTTTCTCAGGACACATTTGATGAGTGCCATGGGGAAGAAGCTGCTGTTGCCACTGCCGCTCTGTACTCTCTCAGATATAAACAGGTTACCCAGCTGGGAGAGAAGACGTTTGCTGCCTGGGGTGGCGTCTAGCACTGATGCATCTACCTTCTCTGAAGGTGGGTCCAGATCTGTAGTCTTGGGTCCCTACCATCCCTCACTGTGAAAGGATGGATGTTTGGTCCTGAAGGAGTTACCAGGTGCCTTGTTCTTGTTCCCCTACAGATGCACAAGAAAGTCCCTTCCTTAAGGCCTGATCACATTACCCATTTCCTTTGTAGAGCTTGCTTTTTTTTGAGGGGGTGGTGTTGAGATAGGGCCTCACTAGTCTCAGCTCCTTTGTAGAATTTTTTATTGAGCCCTCCCTCAAATCCTGCAAACTGGGTATTACTACCATCCCATTGAAATGAAGGCTGGGAGAAGTAAAGCAGTTTGCCCTAGGTCAACCAGCTAGTGAACCAAGAAGGACCTTAGGCCTGACTCCCAAGTACAGGGCACGTGCTACCGTGCTGCCTTTGCCCTGTTCAGCAGTGGCGGAGAAACTTAAGGTAGGGATGATCGTCCAAAGTCCTGCCACACATGGCTCCCCATCCATTCTCCCACCCTGAGAGAGACAAAGAGTACAGGAAGAAAGGAAAGTGAGTCAGTGGTGGGTATGGTAGGGACCTTAAGGGAAATACCTGAGGCCACACTGTTTAATCTCTTGTGCTTCTGGGCCACTTTGCCTTCCATGCCCTTGGTCTGGGTTTATTCCTGGCTGGTGGCCAGCATGAGGTCTTACCCCAATTCTACCTCTTGTGGGAGTTAAAGAGAGGGACAGTGCTTACAGCCTGTGGGGCCGTCAACATACTCATAGCGCAGCCCACTTCCTCCCACGGTGATCCCACCCCTCCTTGTCCCAGCCTGGAGTGTGAGATCTTGGGCTCCCGGCCTGGGAGAGGCACATGGAGTTACCTAATGGGTTTATGTTTTAGATAGTGCTAAGGGGAAGACCAGGGTGGACTGCAGCTCTAAGAAGGGACAGAGGTGAAGCAGCAGGGGTTGCTATGGGAAACTCCCACAGTTGAGCAGAGGCGGGAGCCTTTATTCAAGGGGATTTCCCTAACCCTGGTTCCCATTCTAGCAGTTTATTTGCTGGGAAAGTGGACCTGGCTTCTGTGCTGCCTGAGAGGGTAGAGGGGTGCAGGCTGGGGTGGGCTAACAGCTCTGCTTCTGGGGGAGCAGGGGTAGCATGGTGGGGAATGTGGGAAAGGGAGAAGTGAGAAAGTGAAAAAAGTGTCAGGAGGGGGAAGGAAAGGGGCTGGAAGGACAATGAAAGTGGGCAGGAGAGTGATGAGTAAGAAAATCAGTCCAGGGCTGGGGAGATGGCTCAGTAGAGTAAGCGCTTGCCTGGGAAGCACAAGGGCTTGAGTTCAATCCCTGGTTCTGAAAAAAAAGGAAAAAAAAAAAAAAAAAAAGAAAAGAAAGAAAGAAAGAAAGAAAGAAAGAAAAAAAGAAAAAGAAAAGAAAATCAGCCCAAGACCTGAGTGTGGTGGTGCAAATATCTTGGGAGGCTAAGGCAAGAGGGGACTGCAAGTTCCAAGCCAGTCTCTGGAAATTTAGTGAAACCCTGTCTCAAAATGAAAAATGGAAAGGGCTGAGGATATAGCTCAGCAACACTGGCTCTCAGTATTTCCATTCTCAGTATTGGAAAATAAAAAGCTGGGTATGGTGGTGTATGCTCTAATCCCAGTGTTTGAGAGATTGAGGACAGCCTAACCTACATGGTGAGACTGTATCTTTTTTTTTTGCTCAGAATGCCTTCAGGGCAGTTTGGCTGGCTTGAATTGTGGGGATCAAACCACAGCAACCTGAGCCTGACTGCTTTGTTGAAGCAGCCACTTAAACAACAGAGCTAAGGGGCAGGCCCCAATGAGACCATATCTTAAAAAACAAAAAAGAAAAAAAAAAAAAAAAAGCATGCTGTAGTGGTCAGGTCTGGCTTTTCCAGGCTTGGATCACCACACCATGTTTTGGGGCCAGAGTGTATAAGCGTCTGTGAAGATCAGATGGGCCCAAAAGTTAATTTTTAGCTGCTGAGTGGTGGCAGGAGTCAGCAGAGAGCATGGAGTTATGTAATGGGTTTATGTTTTAGATGGTGCCAAGGTGAACTGGTGAACTGCTATAGAAGAAGAGTTAAGTGATAGGATGTCACAGGGCAGAAAGGGGTACTTGAGAGGACCTCCTGTGTACCAGACAAGGCACTACATATGTTCCAGGGAGCCTGCATGGGCAGGCGGCTTCCTGCAATGAATGGGGCAGAGGGAAGTGTTGTTAGCAGTACTGACTGAACTATTGGGTGTGGGGGCATATAAAATCAGTGAGGCTTTTAGATTTTTTGGGTCTTTTTGAGACAGGGTCTCACTATGCAGTTCAGGCTGGCCTTGAGTTCACTTCATTGTAGCTGAGGCTGGTCTCAAACTCGCAATGATCTTCCTGCCTCAGCCTCTTGAGTGCACCCACAGGTATGCACCACCATGCCTGGTAGAGCATTTAGACTGAGATGCCCTTCTTCTCTCAGGTGAATGCAAGGAGCCTGACAGGTATTGCTGGAAACACAAACAGTGTACCGGGCATATCATCCACCCCTTCTCTGACTGTGGCCACCACAACCTGCACCTACACACTGTCACCCACTGTGACTGTGATTCCAGGTGAGAGCACCCTCCTTAGGAGATCCATGGCAGAGCCCATACTCTGTGTGTTTCCTTCTCAGTCTTTGGTTTTGCTCTTCAGCTTTGGCTTGGTAGTGCTAGCCCAACCCCAGCTTGGAAACCTTGTTGTGCTCCAAGAGCAAGGGGAATTCTTTCAGCAACTTGGCCAAGCATAGCCACAGCCCACTCTCTGTCCCTTTGGCTTCTCTCTGGACCCCCAGGGGTTGTGGTGGTCCAGGAGCCACATGTGGTCAGAGTCCTGTGTGTAGCAGGCTAAAGGACTGCTCAGAGAAGGCAAACAGCAGCAGCTCTTGGGATTCGAACTCAACCTGCTCCCAACATGTGGGCTCAACCTGCTTCATTCAAAGCCCATGCTTTCCACTCATCCCAGAGGAAGAGTGTGTGGAGCGGTTCTGGTATGGCTGGTGAGTTCTGTCAGGCTGAGGGACGAGGGGCTCCAGGGGTTCCACTCTGTGAACTTTCTCTTTATATACCTTTCCTCCCAGGTGCAAAAGCTACAGGCCTATCTCCGTGGCAGTGATCCACCATCCTATCCACCATGAATGTGGGACAGATGACCTAAATGAGGAAGAGGAGGAGGAAGAGGAGGAGGAGGAGGAGGAGGAAGAAAGCAAGCCTTCCATCCCAACCCAGGTGGGACCTGTTATGCCCACTGACCCAGGCACGGGCACAGTTCCTGGAGCCCCTGACTCAGCAGCACCCATCACCATCTGGCGCTCTGAGAGCCCCACAGGGAAGAGCCAGGGTAACAAAGTAATCAAGAAAATAAAGAAAAAGGAAAATGAGAAAGACAAAGAGGAGGAAATGACAGATGAGAAGGCAAAACTGAAGAAAAAAAACAAGAAAGGGAAGTTGACGAAGAAGAAAAGTCCAGTGAAATCAGAGTCTTCACCTGCAGATTTGAGCCAATCATTAAGCCCAAGAGAGTTGGTCCAGATGTCAGAGTCCAGCTCAGAAAGCCGAGCAGGACTGGAGAGTGATGACAGTTACCATAACAGGAAGAAAGAGCACTCCAGTGAGGATATCATGGAGTCAACATCACCCAGAAAAAAAGAGAAGGGCACCACCCAGGCCAAAAAGAATGGGACAAAGACCTCACAAACCAGGAAGGTGACCAAGAGGAAATCTCCTCCAGTGTCCAACCCCAATCTCAGTTGAGGGCAGGGTGAAGAATAAATGGCACCAAGCCTGTAGCTGACCTCCTACTGCTGTTCTTCCAACAAATCTACTTCTTGGGGGAGGCAATGGGCTCTGGGCATACTGGAACCAAGGGCCAGGGACTGCAGGGGCTAAGGCAGTGCAGCTCCCAAGGAAATCCATGGAATAGGAGGGAACAAAGGGTACAGATGTTTCTTTGTAACATTCTAGGACCAAGTTAGAAGAGTACCTCCAGGGTTGGGGCAGAAGGGTGGGCTTCCTACCCCTGGGACTGGTATGTGTGAAATCTACTTCTGGGATAGGGCAGCACTATGTAGCAATACCACCAATAAACTGGACCTTTTTACCCTCCATGCCACTGTGACTGGCCTTTCCCTCCTTATGTGGCCTTAGGGAAGGTGCTTATGGCACCACAGGGACGTGACCTTCCTGTCTGGTGTGGTCCTGTTCCTGTTAGATCCTTGTAGAACTTTTGTGCCTGACAACTGAGTTCTCAGCAGCAGGGCAGCCCCTTTCTTTGGCTCTTGCCAACACACAGCCAAAGAGGTTCTGACTAAAGAGCAAGGGGAGGAAGCTCACCAAGTGTGGCAGCATTGGCCTTTCCTGACCCCTTTGCTTTGCCCCAAGTAGAGAAAAAGGAAGGGAGAAGCCTCATGTCCCAGCACTGACTCACAAAGCTGTGTAATGAAGCCCTTGTGAGAAAACTAAGTGATTAGGATTCAGAACAAAAATACAGTAGGGTTGGGTGGCAAGGGGGGACTGGAGCCAGGGAGCTGGCTGGGCCTAAGCCAGGAAGGAGGGTAGGGGTGGGAAGTGGCTTCCCCTACAACAACTCAGATCCTCTTCCTTGGGCCTCTTTTTGTGGGAGCACAGTGTGCATGTGTGTGTGGCAGAAACCCTGACTCGCTTAGAAGTCAGATACCAAGGAACAGCTGGGCAAAGGGAAGAGAGGGTGGTACAAGGGCTCAAGTTGAGGGGCTCTAGATTTATTTTGGGCAGTTCTTTCTGTACTACACAGGGATGACCAGTGGCACAGTGAACAGGGAGCTGCATGCACGTGATTAAAAGTAGCTCATATTTATGAAGCAGCATGTACTGTGCTAAGCATTTCACACTTGGCAGGTCCTCACAGCAGGCTGATAATGCAGGTATCACATCTCCCTTTTAATTTTAGTGCATGTGCTGCCCATGTGAGCACACCATCTCCCTTTCAGATAGGAAAGCCAGCTTAACACAACAAAAGCTGGCACACAAGGCTCAGAAGAAGCAGGGCAGGATGGTGACCTCAGGAAGTCTGAAGCAGAAGCTGCCTGCTCTTCTCTGAATCCTCACCTCTCTGAAGATCAGGAGAGGGACTGTGGGGAAGTCAGCTTCAAGCTCTGCTTTGAAAGCTACCTGCTGAAGAGCAGAGAGCTGGAGAGAGAGAGGCTTGGGCAAGTGCTCTGTAGAAACACTGTTTATTCAAATGACAGGCAGGAAGCGCAGTGGCAGCAGGTGGATGACCAGGCAGGGGCTGGCAGGTTAGCACTATTCCCTTATGTCCCCCACAATCCTGCTTTGACAGCCACCAGGATCTTATCAGGATCGGAAACTCCCTCCTGTCCTAAACTGAATAAATAGCATCCCTCTCCCCATAAAGGCTGGGGGAAACACACGTGCTGAGCTTGGTGCCCCATCACAGCCCAGAGTCAGGTGAGGGCAGAAGCTCAAAATGGCTTGTATGGAGTAGAATACAAAACTGCTCCACTCTCATCTTCCTCCTCCTCCTCCCTGCTATACTCCCTTCCCGGCCTGGTCCCAGGATGGGTGGTCTGTTAGCGTCTGAAATAGGAAAACTGCTGCCTGGCATACACTGAGCTCACGCTCACAAGGCTATCAGCCTGTCACCTATCCAGGCTGACCACCAAAGAGAATGCCACTTCACACCACTTATGGACAGAAAAAGAGGGGCAGGGAGTGAGGCAGTGGTAGGCCTTTCACAGCCTCAGAGGTAACCAGAGTCCTAAAAGCAGGTCTCCTACCGATCCATCTCATCCAGGAGTGGGGTAGCATCGCCAGCAATGGACATGGGGGTGCTTTCGATCATGGGGCTGGGGGAGGGCCGAGGTGTCAGCCGCTGCTTCTGTTTCCGCCGTTCTGCCTCTTTCTCTTGCAGCCACTGCTCTGCCATCTTTCCCCAGTCGATGGCTGCGTGGCTGTTGGACCTGAGAGGAGGAAGAAAGGGCCTTTGAGATCAGCTCTCTTCTGGGGCTTGCTATAAGGAAGCCTTTCGATCAGTCACTGGTGAGTGCCCAGAATCCAAGCATAAGCAGTAGCCCCTCTGCTGTGACAGAGCAGAAGCAGCAGTGGCCAAATGCCACAATGGCCTTTTGATCTTCCACTCTAAATCACTGCCTTGAGTCCTCAGAGAGGATCAGGAACACTTCTGCATCTTAAGCTCCCCTGATCCTCATGATAACACCCGACCCTACCAATAACTTATTCTCTGTGGCCATCTGTATACTTACTTTGGCTGCTGCTGCCGTTGCCGGGAGCTGGAGGAGGGTTGGGGCTGGGCCTGGGCAGACTGTGGAGTGGTGCTGGCTTGGAGCTGGTGGTACTGTGGTGTGGTGATGGGTTGGCTTGGGGTTGTGTAGGAATAGCTGGGTGTCATTAGTGGTGTGGCTACTGGCTGCTGTGCTGGCGTCGGGAACACCTGGAGAGAGATGGACAGATAAGTGGAGAGGGTAGTGGGCTTGTTTCATTTTGATGCAAATTCCTGGGATATTTAAGGGTAGGCTAAGAACAGCTTTGCATCTGATCAGCTCCTGAGCAGAGAATGGTTCTGAGCAGCTGAGGGAGGCCAGCAGTATGGCACTGGCACACAAGCCCATCAGTCCTGAACTCTTTAGATTTCTAGTAGCTTGAGGGTTCCAAATATCCCAAAGGATTCTGGAAAAGCAGATCGCCATTTATTCCCTTCCCTATCATATGGGCTAGAGAAAATGAACATCTATTGGAGACAGTTCTTAAGGTTGGGGCAGTCCCATCTGTGCAAGTTAAGTTCAAGGTGCACATGGCCAAGAAGCCTAAGGGATATGAGTTGGTAAGAGACAGCTGTTCCCTCATTCCTTACCACCCCATGCAGGGAACCCCTTCCCCAAGTCACATACATGGTAAGCACTGCTGCCTCCTCCGCTGCCACCATAGCCATACTGGCTGGAGGCCCACTGGGCTGGGGTGGCATTAGGGTTTTGACCCTGGCCTGTCACAGCAGCAATGGCACTGAACATCTGTGAAGTCATGTTCTGGGGCAGGGCATTCACAGCCCGAGTTAGATCTGTAAGCATAAAGGTAAGGATCAGCATGTCAGAGGTGAAAGTCCCCCAGCTCCAGCCCTCCCAGTCCTGGCCTGGGTGCTTCACCTGCAAGGTTGATGTTGGCTGGGGTAGCATTGATAGAGGCAGGCGTTCTCGTCCTGCTGCTGCTGCTGGGGGTGATGCCTGTGGGAGATCGCTGGATTTAGTTTTGTCCCTTCAGAAATCTATTCTGGCTTCCCAGTTCAAGGGCTGGGAGAGGTGGGAGGGAAATCTGATGAGGTCCAGGGGACAGAAAACCTCCCTGGTGCTAGGAGACTGGGGCAGGAGAGATAAGGATACCCTACCAAGGCCAGTGATCACTTCAATCATATTGTACATGTCCTCCCAACCACACCCCAGAAATTGAGGGAGAACAGAATTTACCTGGTACGGGATCTTGGTAGTGATCCTTAAACCATCTGAAGAGTCCATTCACAGTAGGGAAGATTTGGCCCCGGTATCGGAATCCTTCTGGAGTCACTGTTACATATTCTATCCTGGGATTTTGGAGGAAAACATACTGATGTACTTAGGGTAGCTGTGAGAGTGACCAGAACAAATGTCCACCATGTGAAGCAGCCACTGAGTGCAAGGGAGAGGAGAGAAGACAGAGCCTGTTGCTGGCCCTGTGAAGTGAGACTTATATGCAGCCATATACAGTGAAGGCCAAATCATTGGCCCCACGTGCTGCACATAGGCTGCCAGAGGAAGGCTGTCGTGAAGGCTGTGCCACTTACACAGCTGCAGTGTGAAGGCAGCATCTTCAGATGAGGGGGAGACAGAAGTTACAATGTCAGGGGCAGAAAGGGCCTCCCGGGGTAGCAAAGCATAATGCCTCCTACACAGAAGTTTTTCTGCATTGCCCCTAGAAAGTGGTTAGTCTGCCTTATTCAATTTTCTCAGAGAAGGAGAATAGTTAAGAAGGCTAGGTCCAGATCTGGTTCTTGTTCTAGTTTGAGCTTTGCTACTTACCAGCTACATGACAATACACCAAGTTGTTAAACCAGAGTCTGCTTCATTTGTAAAAGCATAACAGCACTTCAAGCCACAGGATAGGTGTGGGGATTGAGAAAGTGTATATAAAGTGCTTACCGCAACACCTAACTCAGGTTTGTGCTCCACAAGGAGAGCTATTAACAGTCAAAAGATAATGCTAAGTATGGCAAAGTTCTCACATTCAGTCAAAACCTGTTATCTCCAGGTGTGAATTCTGAGATACGTGGAGAATGTACAAGAAGTTTGTGCTTCTTTGCATAAGAATCCATCATGACAGATGTGCTCCTGGTTAGAGGTCCCCAGCTTACTCAGCTGTTCCTCATGGGATAGTTACCAGTCTTCACCAACACTGGCTGCTATCCTCTGAAAGTACTGTGGTGAAAAGCTTCTCAAAAGGGAGTATACCATTCCAGACAAGTCCAGAGTATGGGAGGCTTGTCATCTGGCCCCCAGCCCCACTAATACAGTCTGAGCTGTGCTTCACATGTGCTCAGTACAGGAATAGGGGCAGAAATGCATACAACTTGGTCAAAGGCCAAGGGAAGGATGGAGGGTAGGGCTTGGGCAGAAAAGCTTGGTGTGATCTTCACTAGTGTGTGCAAGAGACATAGAAGGCAAGTTTAAGGAAGTAAGACTGTCCTCCAGCCTCAGGGAGAGCTAGAAACATAGGTAAAGGCATACCTCAGGAAGGGCAGCCTGCCAATTATGTACAGAAGGGGCAGTGCAGGAGATAGAAAAATGCCTCCAGATCCACCCCTTCAGTGTGGGCACAAGAACCAGTACACTGTAGCATTAGTGAACCACCATGTGCCAAGAGTCCTGGGGAGGGTGAAGCAGGGAACAGGAAGAAGAGGCCAGTGCGCCACCCCAGTCTTAACAGATAGGTGTGGCTGATAATTCTTATCACTCCTTGGAAGAGATGAGATGCATGGAACTCCTTTTTCAGTGCTGATGAATGTGCCTATAAGAATCTTTGCCTTTTGCTTCTAAAACATCACCCTCTTTCCCATCTCTAATCTCTACCTCTGCTGTACACAAGCAAGAGGAGAAAGGCAGTCAGGTAGAACCAGAGCCACATGGCTCCCTTCTAGCCTATCTGTGGCCCCCAGTGGAAGCACTTTCTCTGCACCAGTGCTCACCTGGGTTTACCCCGGGGCTGGTATCCCAGGAGGAACTTGCCGGGCAGTTCCTTGCAGGCACAGATGAAATAAGGGATGAAGGTGGGCTTCTCCTTCTTAGTTTTGATGAGCAGCTCCTCTAATTTCTGGGGGTAGAATGAGGGGAAGAGGTTGGGACAGCAGCATGCTTGGTACACAATGTCTGGCATATTCATATGAATACTACTTTCATCATCTGAGGGTCCCCTACACTCAGGAGAAAGTGTATATCCTTAGAGCCTGAAAGGTATCATCCCTCCTTAGAGGGCTCCTGCCTCACCTTGCGGTCCCCACCACTGCACTCCTGGTAATACTTGTGGTTGAGAAGGTCCCGGGCAAAGGATGCCATGGGCTGGACATAGCGGGCAACAATCTCATCCAAGTCTTCAAATTCCTGTGGGAAGAAGTTAAAGGTTCTCTGATAAATCTAGATCTGAAAGTCCTAGCTCTTCATCATCAAATCTATCTTGAAGAGAAAAATGCAGGAGGGGTGGACTTCCTGGTCTTGCTAAAACTTCAGTAGACTACAAGGTATCCTCAGTTTATCTCTCACTTTGAGTCATACACAGATGCACTGGCTTATAGAACACAGAATTCTGTGATTTTTCCCCTGGTTCTTTTTTTTTGGGGGGTGGAACTGGGGATTGAACTTAGGCCCTTGCACTTGCCAGGGAAATGCTTATTCCACTGAGCCATCTCCCCAGCCCCTTTCCCTGGTTCTTGAGAACAACAGGGAATGTCATCAGACCATCCAACATGGGAATGAGAAACCTGATACATGCATATGCACATAAACAATTTGGACAACAGGCAAGAAGGGGATGAAAACACATAAAAAGAATAAAATTCATTCTATGCTCCACTTACTCACTT